TTATTTCCTCGTCCTTGTTCCTCCTGCCAGTTGCTAATATACGAGAAAAAATATTTCGATGCTTCGCAAAAATATGGGATCCAGCGTCCCACCATGCCTCCTTGGTTGAAAAGGAATCCAAGTTCCCTTTCCAATCTTCCCAAAACCGTTTCATCCATTCTACCACCCTTGGGTCATGAAGAATACATGTGTTGACTCGGAAATACCCAGGACCCCTTTCGAGTTTGGCCGAGTTAAAAGCGGTCATGACTGGTTTGTAATCCGACATCGGGTTGTCAACTTCCTCTATGTGAACCGTAGCATTCCCGGATATTGGAGCACCAGGTGTAGCCTGGATTGCCAGGGTGCAAAAGTGCATAAGGCTCCGTCAAGTCTAAATCAGGCATAAGATCAGAAAGAGCTTTGGTATCTCGGTTACCCCGGACTTCCTCGATGTTGTTTAGGGAGGTATTCCAATCCCCAGCAATGATCAAGTTTTCACAATCGGGGATAAATAAAGGAATGTCATCGAAAAAATTCGCTCGATCAGACCGATCTGTCGGGGCATAGATTGAGGCTATCACCCACTCTTGACCCTCAATCGCAATCTTTACCCAAGACCATTTACCCCACAAATCAGCACAAAAATCAACAATCACTACATTTAAGTTCTTGTGGGTAATGATCGCAACTCCGCCTTTTGTCCCTTTAGCAGAGGCCTATAGTTGCGGCCCGTCCCACCAAGTACCAAGCTCCAATATCTTATGTTCAAATAATTTACTTTCCTGAAGAAAAAAAAACAACATTGATTTTCTTCTCGTGCATCCAACTTTTCAACCGCCCTTTCTTATTCCTCCCTGTAGTATTCCCCAACCCCCTCACCTTCCAGGTAGCAACCTTAAGCCTGCCCATTCGAGGCGGACGTCCCAGTCTGTTGGATGTGGGAAGTTGCCTCCGCCCTCAGATTTGACATCGGCCATGCATCAATCAGGGTTCGTTTGAAAAACGAAGAATCCAATTTCCTTTCCTTGCCCAATTTATTGTTCAACTCGCATAGACATTCGACAGTTACTGAGTTCGTAATTTTAATGCGTCTCAGTTCGGATTTTCGACCTTCCAATAGCCAAAGTAGAGGAATAAATCTAAGACCTTCGTCTTCCAGGCTTTCCAGCTGACTAAGGGGGAAGTGAGCGTCAAATAGAGGGGAATAGAGTCGAACTCTTTTTCCCTCTATGTCAACCAAAAATCTCGGCATAGAGACAACAATGAGGCAGAAGGAGAATCTATTATGGAAGAGTGACCTGGCCAGGGTTTCCGTTGCTTGTGGCATGGGAGACTTTGGGCAAGGAGCGTTAAGAAACAAAGGAGATCCATCCGTACCTATCCATGCCACAACCCAGTACGAACTCCTAGTGACAGTGAGCATTAACGTTAACAACCTAGATTCTATCGCTGATTGACCCTTTGACAGAGCATCAATACGAAGGCGTGACGATTTCCGCTTACCGGTGGAGGAGGACGGTGACTGCGAGCAGTCCGAACTACCTGAAGCTTTAGCATGTAGTTCGTCAACACGAATGTCAATGTCTGTGTCGCTTAATCTTCGTTGTTTACTTAGGGATTCGCCTCGTTGACGGAATCCACTCTGACTTAGAGGCAGATTCCCGACTGAAGCTTGATTTACTGGCGTCCCCTGCGGTTGGAGACTTGATGCATTAGCATGTTGAGGAGGCGTGTTTGATGGGTTGCCCTGTGGCATACCAATCGTACCATGATTCCAAGGAGCAAAAACATATAAGTTAGCAAACGAGGGACTCATCCCTAGCTGAGAGTTCAGCGTCTGCATGCCATAAGGCATCGAGACGAAAGGATGCTACGGTAGGCTCTGCAAGTATGCCACCCCAGCGGCTTTCATTGACGGTGTTGTCAACCCCGGTTGGCCCTGGGCCAATCCTGATCCGGCCTGAGGGTGTGGAGGATTCCCTCCCAGAGAGAACGCTGGATTCATCCGGAGTGAGGTAGCACCTGGAAAGTTCGATCTGCCAGCTAACTGCTGGCCCCCCAATGGGACCTGTGCCGCCGAAACTCCTGGAGCATTGAGTGGACCTGAATATCCCGGTCGCGATTCCACTACCCTTGGTGAAGTTGAGGCTTGCGGTTGACTCGAGCGGCTTCCTCATTGGTTGCGGCGATCAGTTCTTCGACAGGTAAGCTCCGTGTGAAAAAAGGTTCTACACCTTCTACACCATTCGGAGTCTGCGTTTGCGAATTTAACCTCCAGCGCATCACCTTGACAGGTTTGAACTGAAATCTTGTCCTTCATATTCGCTCGGTATGATGGGTCGATATCAAACCTGAGGTCTACCAGTTTTGGATCCGACTCATCAGCTTCTGGCTTGTGTTGCTTCACCACTTTACCGATAGCCTTCTCCATATGCACATGGAGAAAAGGCATTTCATCCAAAGGTACTCCCACCACCACGACCCAAAAGGTGTCTTGGTCAATCAGTTGTCTCCAGTCTCGAATCTCAGCACGTGTCAACCACGGTTTAAATTCCGTTTTGTACGTCGTGCCGGCAAGATCGATGTAGTCTGATTTCTTCTGAATCATCCAGTCTGTGATCGCCTGTGCCCTTGCAACATACGACACCACATTAGGACTCTCCACCTTGATCCTTCCTCGTTTGAATTCATGTCTGAAGACCTCATCCTGCATCCATACATCTTCGACGCTCTTATCATGTCCTCCTTGATTTTTTTAGGTAGAAAACGGGCACCGTACCGAAAAATGACAGTGATCGTTCTTTCCTTCAGCCATTTTATCTTGATCTCGTCCAGTGTGGAGTTCAAGATAAAACAGACTTCCCTCCCAGTCACTTCCACTTCCCCCGGATTGATGTTCGTTGGCAGAATACCTTCCTCGTAACATGCTCTAATCATCTCCCTCGCTCTTTCCTCTTCTAAGCGATAGTCACTTGGAACCTGGGCTCTTCCTTCTCTTTCACCTTGCATGACTGGTTCAACTTCCATCTTGCCAAATCTTCGTCAACAGTCCTTCTAACTCGAAGAGAAAATTCCAAAAAGAAAAATCTTACTCACCACTAAATATCAATCTGGCGGGTGGGTGATGGCGGCAAACTCTAACCGCTGATAGCATCCACAATGGCAAATGCCATTGGTCTTCATCGACACGAAAACGCTGAGCTACCACCTACGCCTACGAATCCATGTCGGAATCGTTCGTCGCCGGTCAGGCCTGCTGGAAGAAAGCAGGCGGCGCTGGGCCCGAGCGCTACCGCGCTGGTCAAAGCTCCTTGGACCGCTACCTCCCCCCCCCGTAATTTTTCTGCAATTTCCCCTAATTGTAATTCTCATATCGCCACTTAAGAAAAAGGCAGAAAAAAACACTAGGATCGGGCCGATAACCGTAGCGCTCCGGTCGCTAGCGCCGCCGTGCAGAAAATTCGAAGTTCGCTCGGTGTTGTCTGACCGTCACCCCCGCCATCTCGACGGGGAACGGAGAAGCATCGACGCAATCACTCCATATCGAGAGTGAAGAGGAGTAAGTCGAGATGCTGTCAGGCAGTCCTAACAAGTGTGCATAGGGTAGGATGAAGGAAGTCTTCAGACATAACCAGTGAAGGAATGACACATAGGAGGAGGTAATGAAGGAAGCCCGACAGGCAGGGCTAAGCCATCCAATATCTCAACACGAAGAGAAAATCCGGATCAGGGTAGACAGCGCTTAACAAGCCTATCATATCCAAGGGAGGTAGCAGACATAGTGAGAGAATCAGTGGGAAAGTCCTACGACGAGGGACTATGTCTGGAGGATCTAGACCTAGGGAAAGTGGTGAAGGACGACGAAGGAAAAAGGTCCATAGTAGTCAACGAGGAAGTTGACGAAATCAAGGAAGTTTGGTTAAAGGAGCGCATGGTGATCCTAGTATTCCAAGGTGAAGCAAGATAATTACAGTGGAAGGTCAAGGAAGACATAATCCGTGCCTACGAAGATGGCTAGATGGAAGCCAGGTTATTTAACCCGGACGTCAGCAGCGGAAGGATTAGTTTTGAAGGAGCGAACATGTGGCGGACTGGTTAATAAACCAGGGAGATATCAAATTAAAATTGGGAGTTGAAGAATATATATCCCTTTGCAAACCATGGATGACACGAAACGAATTGAAGGAGTTGCGATTGTATGAAGTAGAGGCAAACTTGTGGATAACTGCAATTCGAGTACCACTAGATGTTTATCACTACTTGTGGAGCGCAGTGAGAAATATGTTCAACGAAGTGTTAATAATGCACCCCTCGGAACCAGACAGAACTAGGCCAAAACTTATGAACGTGAAGATGGAGATGGATCCAGCCGCACTGTTCATAGTTGAAGACGAGTTGACGATCCAGGCACCGAGAGACGAAGAGTGGAGGGTGGAGGTTGTGACCCCGTATACAGATTGGCGCAAAAACTGCAAATGGTATTTCCATACCGAAGAGAGATGTCCCAGAAACCTTCAAAATGGCAGAAGGGCGGGACAAGGCGGGCCAAGACAAGGGGGACACAAAGCGAGATTGCAACAGTACCTGCAAAGTCAGCTGTGGACAGGGGAACAAAGAGGGAGAGTGACAAAATCGAACGAGAGAGAGGCTCAAGACAGACTGAGTAACGCAGCGAAGCAAGAAAGGGTTCAAGTGAGTGGAGGCAAATTTTACCTCCTCGGCAGGAACTCCCTCCATGGAGAAATCAGGGAACGTTGGTGCACGGTTGGAGAAGAGAAGAAACAGGTCCATCTATGTTGCCACTGTGGCCTAAGAGAGAGGAATGTCCGGGAGTTAGTCTGGACGGACAAGAAGACAACTTCAACATGCACATTCTCACAGAGAGAGAGCAAGCCTATTGGGACCAGAGAGCCCCGCTCCGGCAAAGAGAAGAGCATCGACCACCATAAGGTGGCTATCAGCAGGGATGAACAGAGCATGAGAACCGCTACAATCCTTACTACATAGACAGACAACAATTAAACCAGATAGAACAACCACTAGTTCATCCAATGCCTCACTGATCCAGAGGGAGCCATGGACTGAAGACACATGGGACCACAAGCAGGATACAGAGAAAGGGGGTTGCCGGAACCCAGTTTGGCATGAGCATGAGGAGAAGGGGAGGAGTGTGGAAAAGATGGGGGAAAGAGGACACAGGCAAAGTAGGAGGGAGAAATCAGAGCGCAGACTGGAGAAGGAGGGATGGTGATCAGAGAAGAGGCTGGGGTTGCTCCAAGACAGCAGAAGCAGAGGGGCTGGGCATAGGGGGGAACAGGGAGAGAGGACCACCGTTAGAGGCAGGAAATGGTTGGAGCTGCTCGGGAACAAAATTGGAGGAAAAGGGCCAGTTGGAAATGTCAAAATCGCAGGCCTTCTCAGTCTCAAGGGTGAGATGGCGAAGTGAATGGAGGGAAGAAGGATCATCAGTGGGGGGAATCGGAATTGGGGGAGCAAGAGGAAGGTTCACAAAAGAGCTCAGCGAACTCGGGCATACTCGTACCAAGCAGAACAGGTCAGGTCAGGGAAGACCGAAGGGCGGATACAGCAAGGAGAAGACAGGTAGAGATTGCAAAAGAAGACTGGTCCCGCTGCTCTGTACCATGGCAAAGGATGGAACATACTTCCTGGCACTGGAAGACGCAGATGGAAGGGCAATTATCCCATCCATTGAAATTGACAGAACTCCAACGTCGATACTTATCATGGAGGGCACAAAGAGGATGTATGGGGCCACGGTCCCAGTGCGACTAATCCCAAGGTCTACAGTGATCAGCATCTTCAGTGATACGTCAGAAGGCTACCAGAAGTTGTACATTCCACTGTTGGATGCTCGAATTCCACAGGAGATCGCAGAAAGACTTACCCAAGTAGGAATACGCTGGACAAGGATGGAGGCCATACACGAGTTGAATCTGGCGCAGTTGGAAGAAATAAAGGTGATCCAAGGAGTCTCAACAACAATCATGTTGAACCTAAACGAAAAACTGCTAGAAGAGGAAGGGTTGATCTCAGACTTCATGAGGAAAAATCTGACAGCAGAATGGACAGAAGATTCACAGACAAGCGGTTCAAGATGCAGCTCAAGAGGCAGTTCAAGAAGCAAAATGAGAACATCTTCCCACTCTGCGCAGGGAGACGCTGATCAACACCAACAATAACAACAGGGACAGTCACTCTGAATCCAGGAACCACTAGCGGAAATGGTAGGCAGGTATGGATAAAGCAAAGGTGGCAACATGGAACGTTAGGGGTCTGGGGGACACCTCAGACAAACGGAAGAGGAGAAGGGCAAAGACGTGGGTGAATGACAGAGGGGTGAACGTGCTGATGTTGCAAGAGACAAAGTTGAAAGAAGAAAAGTTGGAGGCATTGGGATCATGGTGGGAAGGCCCACAGATATGGGCACCGACGCAGGGATCAAGGGGAGGAGTGGGAATCCTGCTACACAAGGATTTACAAGTTAGGCTACTAGATTCTGAAGTGGACATCTGGGGGAAGTGGGCGTGGATAAGAATCGAGGTAGGGGCAAAGGAATGACTCCTGATGACAGTGTACGCACCAACTCAAGTAAGGGACAAAACTACCTTTTTAAAAATATAATCAGACAAATTTCAAAAGTAGATAAGGTAATAGTGACAGGGGACTGGAATGTAGCGCTTGATGAGGCACTCAAACCAGACTCACGGTACGCAGATAAGAGCGATGTCAGAGCCATGTTGGACCTGACGAAGGAGTTGAAAGTAGTTGACCCCTTCCGGATTCTGACCCCAAATGAGTCGGGCTACACTTGGACCTCCCATGTACACAGGGATAGAGGCACGGTCACAAGAAGGCGGCTATATTACTTCTTGGTAAGCGAAGAAGTCCTGGAACAGGTCACATCAGTCCAGTAGATATGCCATCCGATGTCAGAACATATACCGGTGTTAGTTGAGATCTTATTGCACGGGGGAATAGAGAGAGGGTAGGGGTTCTTTAGACTAAATTCACAGAACCTAGAAGACCAAAGACTAATGGAGTGGATGGACAGACACATGGCGCAATGGGAATCAGCTAAATACTATTTTGTTTCGGCAGCAGAGTGGATAGACAACGGGATGATCATTGCCTCTAAAGTAATGGAGGTAGGTTCAAGGATACTTGCAAGGAAAAGGAACAAACAAGAAGTAGAATGCAAGAGAAGAGTAGAAGAGGCAGAGGAACGAATGGAGGGAGACCCAATTTCAGTCCTGGCATGGGCGGTAGAGAGAGAGCAGAGAGTAGCTGAATGGGATGCGCTACAAACGGAGGAGGAACAAAGATGAAAGGTGGTATTGGAAGAAAAAGGCATAGTGGTGCACAAAAAGATGACAAAAGAAACCTTCAAGAAGTTACATCCACTGGCAAGAAAGGCACTCCAACACATGGTGGGGTTAAAACACCCACACGATGTTACAACCCCCCCAGGCGGTGACAGCAGCTGGCATGTTGGACTACGCGAGGGTCTACTACCAAGATATCCTGACAACCAGAAGATCACAAGACGAAGTCAATACCGACCTCACGTTGGAATCAGATATGTGGGAGAGCACAACGGTCAGGCTCTCTACTGCGGCTAGACTGGACTTGGAGAGACCAGGAACGCTTGAAGAAACTACGGAAACACTGCGGTCTATGGGAAAGGGAAGTCGTCGGGGAGAGACAGCCTCACAGTGGAATTTTACATCAAGAATTGGCCAATGGTGAGACCTGCATGCGTGAGGATTTACAACGAGGTATTATCAGGAGGAAGGTTGGGGGAAACAATGACTCACGGTGTCGGGGCAAATACCCTGATAAAGATATTTGCCAGGGATTTTAAACGTCAGATGTTCTTGGACTCTTTTGTTGAATTAAAGAACTTGATGAGACTCGCGATTGCCAAAAGTTTATTCAGACCTGACCTATGACTAAGAGACTAAAAGTTTTTTAGCTTAGTCCGAGCACTTATAGCGTCTGAAAGTAACGACAGTAACTGGCAGTGCTTCGCTTCTGCCGAGGCAGCAGAGGCGCGGACATGGGAATGTCAAAATTAAACCTATCGTACCTAAAAGAATGACGCACGGCTGCTAAGTCGCGCGATTGAGGGCCTAAGTAGGCTTAAAAGAGGGATGCGTCGGGTATAGGGCCGCGGCGCAGGGGGAATAGGAAGAAGGGTTTTAATTCCTTGGCCGCGGCGGTTGACATCGAGCCAAAGGGTTGACATGTTGATGCCGAGGTCACACTGCCAACCGACGGGGCAGGGCCTGCCTGCAAAGCCTATTAGACTTCAAGCAGGCAAGATCTGCAGAGCCTCAGGCAGGCAAGGCCTGCAAGGCCACTAACAGGGGGGGGAATGCAACTAGGCAAACTCTTCTTATAGAAGAGTTGCTCCTATCACTATCGTGATAGGAGCTAGTCCAGTAGGTTACAACACCTGACTACTACTCGACAGACACGGGGATCGAATCTGAAATATCGCGCCCTACTGGGCATAGCTCCTTTTGGAGCTGTGTCACTTTGTAGATGGCGCGATCCATCTCGACCGTGCGATCGTTGAGATCACACGACCGAGATAGGCCGCGCCGAGATTAGCACGAGCCCTGCGCTTTCAAGGATGACACGCATAAATTGAGATATTTGAGTCCATCGGGACTCGAACTCGGGCCTGTATTCCAATGGTTTGTAGGACGTGTGTGGTGACGTGACCGTTGGCTACAGCCAACGGAAAAAATAAGGAAAAAAAAAAAAAAAAAAAAAAAAAAAAACGAAACAAAACAAAACTAACACTAAGTTCTCGCAATGCCAATCTGGCATTGCGAGATCTAACTGGGCCTTTCAGTCCCAGTTTAGACGATGGTGCCCGTTTTAACGGACGACCGTTTTTCAGTAGTGAGGTAAAGTTTGTTTTTTTTCTTCTTCTTTTCGTTTTCTTTTGTTTTTTCTTTTTTTATATTTTCCTTAGGTTTTCTTCTTTTATTTTTATTTTTTTGGGAAAAAGTAGAGCATTCCATTACCAATGTAAAACACATTGAGGATGGGAATCCTCACAAACAACCTGGAGAGTGACTGGAAGCTTGGAGCATTACCCAATTTCGCTTCTGACCCAAACACCAACCTGAATTAGGTAGGCAGATTGAGGATAGTGGTCCAAGAGATCAGGGGATAGTGGGGTGAGTGCCAAGTTCTTTGAGGAGCCATTGCTCCAAAATAGGTCGTTTTAGACCAGTTGAGCAAAGGTTTGAGGTTGAAGGTTTTTTTTCAATAGTTTTTTTGTCAGAAGAGCAGAGGGCTCGTATAATAAACTTTTGACACAACTGTGGAGGAAATAACTCAGGTTTTCTTCTTCTAGATCCTCGTCATATTTTTTTATTTAGAATTCTTTCTGTTTTTTTTTTTCTTTTAAATTTTTGTTTTTTTTCTCGTGATTTTACTAAAGGTGACCGTTCGTTTTCAACGAACGGGCTGGTTCTTGCATCTGCAGTATGAGTAAGTCGAATGATTTTTCCCCTGTAAAGGGGAACTATACATTTGTGTGTGTGCGTGTATGTGAGAGAGAGAGAGAGGGAGAAAGAGAGAGGGAGAAAGGGGGAGATAGGAGGATAGCATCTTACCTGGTGGCGGCTGCGACGTGACTGCAAAAGGTAAGTCTCCCTGTTACCTCCTCTGATAGGATGAACAAAATCGAATGAATCTGCCCCTAAGGGAGTAGGAAATACGCCGCCATATATACATATATGTTTTTAGCCCTCCCCCCCTTCTTGCTCAGTTCACTTTAGTGTAGCTGCGCCCGTTCGTTTTTGAACGGGCAACAACTACATGAAGTAGAACCCGAACGTGGCACCTAGTTTAGGCCAAGTTCGGGCGCGCTAAGGGAAGAAAGACCCTGTGGGTGACTCTAGTTCGACTCTGTGAAATGACAAGGGGGAGGGCAACCGTTCGTTTTGAATGTCGGGCTGGCCCTCATAGGAAAACGAGAGGCCTCAAGAGAAAAAAAAAAAAAAAAAAAAGAAAAAAAAAAAAAAAAGGAAAAAAAGTAACGGCCACGTACGTGGCCGCGACAGTGGAACAGGTACAACCCCTAGAAGGTTCTAGGGGCTGATGGGACTGCATCTGTTCAATTGAAAAGGCAGCTCCCAAATGGCTGAGTACAGCTATTTCCAGAAGCACATGGCCTGGGAAAACGGCCAGGTACTCCTGGGGTTTGGTGATCTTCGTTCCTCTAGGGAGAACCAAGGCATCGAGCTCCTGGCCGTTGATCTATATCAAGGGTCTGGAGCACCGACGAATTTTGCCTGGCTGTGGGTAAAGCAGCTGCCCACATACCTTCGGAGGGCTATAAAGGCCAGCACTCCACCCAAGAGCCTCACACTTGTGGCAGTGCTGCTGGGGCATCCACTTGTGTGAATGCTGGTTGGCTGCTGCATGCTGCTGGAGAGGGGCGGTGCTGCCGGTGGAGGTGTTGCTGGTGGAGTGGAGGTCTGCGGAGAGCTGGAGGAGGACAGGCCAGGGTGGCCATAGCCAAGGGTTGGAGGCTTTGCCCCACCCTTGTGCTAGTGCTGTGGCCGATGGGTTGCGTAAGGGTCCGGACGATGCGGCAAGCGGCACCTGTTTTAGGGGGGTTGTGCTGCCGGACCGTGGCCACGACATCAAGACCTTCCTAAGGGAAGGTGTTGCCGGATTTGCTGCGTGGCGCCGATGTTTTTTTTTTATGTGAGTGTGGGGAAGTACTGCTCGATCAACGGCGCAGCTACGACAGTGTATCTGGTGGGATCATGCTGCCAAGATTGGCGGTGGTATCGACGTTATTTTTTTGGGGGTTACTGGCGGCACGTCGACAGCACTATTATGAGGGAAAATATTGCGGGTCTTTTGCGTCATAGTGGAGGCAGTTTTTTGTGTGTGATCTGGCGGCAGTGTTGCGGGGCAGCCATGGTAC